ATCAAAAGAAGTGTGACCAGCAGGTCAAAGGAGGTGATCCTGCCCCTCTGCTCTGCTCTTGTGAGACCTCACTTGGAGTATTGTGTCCAGTTCTGGTGTCCTCAACATAAAAAGGACATGGAGCTGTTGGAGCAAGTCCAGAGGAGGGCCACGAGGATGATAAGAGGACTGGAGCACCTCCCGTATGAAGACAGGCTGAGAAAGTTGGGGCTGTTCAGCCTGGAAAAGAGAAGGCTGCGTGGAGACCTTATAGCAGCCTTCCAGTATCTGAAGGGGGCCTATAAGGATGCTGGGGAGGGACTCTTCATTAGGGACTGTAGTGGTAGGACAAGGGGCAATGGCTTCAAACTTCAACAGTGGAAGTTTAGATTAGATATAAGGAAGAAGTTCTTCCCAGTGAGGGTGGTGAGGCACTGGAATAGGTTGCCCAAGGAAGTTGTGAATGCTCCAACCCTGGCGGTGTTCAAGGCCAGGCTGGACAGAGCCTTGGGTGACATAGTTTAGTGTGTGGTGTCCCTGCTCATGGCAGGGGGGTTGGAACTAGATGATCTTAAGGTTCTTTCCAACCCTGACTATTCTATGATTCTATGATTCCCTTTGAGTCTGGTTTTGTTGTAAGATGCAGAAGAGAATATATATGAAGGGGGAACTGTGCCTGCTGATGAAGAGAGCTATAATCCTCGTTCCTAATCTTCTGTTATGCATTTCAATCTAAGTTTAAAGTTATTGATTCTGCATATTTTCTGACCAGAACAGCTGAATTTATTTGCTATTTTGCCACATCTAGACGGCTTTTGTTTCCTTTTTTGCTGTGCAGTGTGTAGGCACATACTGTTCTATGTATTGGACTGTAAGGGAAGAAGAGTATGAATATACGATTTATGTTGGTGTTTGATTTGCAGGTGCTGTCTTATGTAAATTGGTGTGTTTGTTTTTAACTAGGAAACCGAGATTAATTATGAAGATCAAATAAGTAAAATTGTTGTAGAGAAACAGGAACTTGAATGGCAGAAGGTAACTTTCCTGCATGGTTCTAGCGTTTTAACTGTTGGCATTTAATTTCAATATGATATTAATATGGATTGTGATTTGGTACAATTTCCCTTTTTAAACCTCTGGTAACTTCTCAATGTGGAATGTGGTAGCCAATAGTTTATTGTTTAGCCATGAACTTCTGTAGCATTTATATTGATTTGGATTGTGCCCAGCCTAGAAATCTGATTAATGAAAGAGTACCATCATAATATTTGGCATGACTGGAAGTCTTCACTCAAAAGGGATATAAATATTGAAGCAATAAGACATTTAGCTTAACATGAGGCCTGTTGACACGTCAGTGTGGGGGAGGCTATGCAGCAGCTTCTCTGTGTTATGCTTGGCTTTGGCAAGTGCAAGTACCAGTGCAGTTGTAGAAACAACTTCTCTGGCAATGTTTTGGAGGTGACAGTTTTTCCCCAAAATTACTTTAAACAAACTTGTATGCCAGACGTATTTGAAAGTGGTTTGTCAGCTGTTAAGCACTCAAAATGAAGTTTTTGGTAAAATAATTTAGCATTCTTCCTAGGGTTAGGGCTTCTAAGGTTATGCTTTCATAGGAAATCCATTCCCTTCTCTCATACAATCAAACCTATGACCCCTGTCACTAGGTCACAAGATAAAAGGCTTTACTCTGTTTATTTTATGATCACAGAAAAAACAATAATTTCAGCTCTATCCTTGATCTCGGGATATTTAACATCTTAGTAGTAAAGGAAGACTATGTCATCTTGGAGTTCAACCTAACCATCTTAAATTAATAATCCAAACTGCCTTTTTTTTTTTTCTCTGAAAGATATATATATGCACACAGAAACAGGAAACATTCTATATTTGTAAAAGCAACAGGGCTTTCAATTTGTAGCCCTTCTTTGCTTTTTTTTTTTACCTAGCATTGCAATTCTTAGTAATCCGGGTTCAAAAGGGATAATTTCCATTCATTTTGAGACCTTAACAGCAATTTAGTTCACCATTAATAAAAAGATGGGACTTCTAGGCAGTTAGGTGAACTGTTTTTCTGCACTTTGTATTTAACATTGGCACATGTCAAACCTAATGCTATCCTAAGTTGGCAATGGGTGTTAAATTGCTTGTGCAGGTTGACAGAGTGGATAAGAGTCGCTTATAGAAATCCTGGCAACCAGAGAGCTGAATTGCAAATGAGAGAAGCTGCTACCAAAAAGATGATTACCAGTTAACAAATGTCTCTTTTTAGTCTTCAGGCTTTTTAATCAATCATGCCTTTCTAAAAATATTTAACAAGGAATCAGTTTGTTTTGTTTTTTTGGTTTTTTGTTTTTTTTCCTTGAAATCCCATATGTGTGGTTTGCTTAAGAGATTTAAACCTCACTGTTACTTTGAGCAGGAAACGCTGCAACATCAGATGGACACATTGCACCAACAAAACAAAGAAGCTATGGCAGCTCTTAAAAAACAGGTAGCAAAATAAGGTTGTCTAACTTTGACAGTGGGATTTTAAAAATGATGGCGTAACAACAAGTTACGAGTTCATATTAAAATATTTTTCTGTTGCATATAAAATGTTAGAATATACAGCTTTAAAAATTCAGGTCTTTTTCTTTCTTCCAGACGTAGTATAATGCCTGTATTTTGACAGTTTGTCCCGGTATACTGCTCTTTGTGGGAGAGAAAGAGCCCCCCCCTCCCCCAAATGGCATGTCCTCTGCAAGGTTAGATTCACAAAGCGTGGTAAAAGATCTGCCACATAACTTGCTCTGTTCAACATATGAAAGTGTGTTTCAGTCTTTCAAGTTGGGGTTGTGGGTTTTTTCTCCATAATACATAATCAACAAATTTGAGTGCTGAAAGAACTTGCAGAGAACAGTCATAGGAACTGAAACTGTTGCACATGGTGATGACGAGTTTATCACTAATGCTGCATCACAATCATATCTCACCAAAAAGAAATGGGCAAGCAATTAGGCTTTTTTCTTTCTTGAAAAAATAATTTGTGACTTACAAGCTTGCTGTTTGTGACTCTATAGTTACTATAGTTAAAGGGAGAAAACCCCCCAACAAAACAGGAAGTACACTCTGCATGGTAATGTAAGTGTATTGTCATGTTGAACGAATAAGATTAATCCCACGTGCTGTATTGATTTGTTTTTCGTTTGTTTGTGTTTTATTTATATGCTGCTGGCAACCAAGTTACAGGCAAGGATGATGGCCATGGAAGAAGAAAAGGTACTCTGTTACAATTATTTGCTACATGATAGTGCCATATAACTCACTGGACATGTTCTAAGTATAAGCTAAGTATATTACAGTTAAATTATTTTTCTTGCTAATGCCTTAGTGAAAGATAATTTTATGTAACCCCTTACTCTTGGGGTTTTGTTTAGAGCCTACAGAACTTCAATTACTTGTGAAATGTCACTCATATTAATTGCTGTCTGAGATTCTCACCTAATTTAATTCCTCTAAATTCCTTTGACTTTATTCACATGTGCATGTCATGCACATATAATTCACATGTATGTGCATATGTCACATATATACATATATATAAAAAACTTTAATATATGCTTATGTGTATTTAGTAATTGTAGTGGTAGCAGATTACACTTCAATCTTTGTGGACTGGAAAAGCTGAGGAAGTTGTTTCTGTGAAGACACTGCAACAGTGGATAAAAAAATGGATTTACGTGATTCTTTATTGTTTAGTATCTTTATTCTGAAGTAACTTACTAATTCTGCTTTCATCAGGCTTGTCTCTCACAGAAGAGAATATTTTTAAACTTCCTGACTAGTCATAAATGGTGAATAATCACTACCATGTTTTCACTTTGCTTTTTATTGTGATAGAAATAAAATTATTTGAATTTTCACCTGTTTTCATCAATGAATTGTTCTGTCATAGGGGAGTAGTGCTTTGTTTTGTAACATTCTTGTTGATAAATTCTTGTTGTAAATATACTTGTTCCGCCCAAATCCTGAAGTACAGCTTTTGTTGAAAGGGAAAATATCAACTTGCTGTAGAAACAAAGGAAAAAGAAATCGATGGACTGAAAGAAACATTAAAAGCTCTACAGGTAAACTGTTTGTTTTGGTAAATAACTTTCCTTGGTATGCAAGTGTTTTGGGTTTAGCTTTTCTAGTACGAAAATAGTTGTTTTTAAGAGGGCCTTCAAGGTCTTCTCATTTAATCTTTTTAGTATGTGTACACCTCACTTTCTAACACTAAGTTTCTGTCGTAGTCTTCAGTACCAAGACTACTTTAAGTTAGCTTTCCACCTAAAGTTCTTTTTCTCCAGAAGACTCCCAGACTCAGTAGAAACCCAAATAGGGTGTGAAATGTGCTGCCTTTTCATTTCCGTGGTCTTCCCCTTTCTGTTCTTGTCATCTTCTCACCCGTCTGGAAACTTGGGTTTTGGACACCTAAACAAGTATTCACACTGGGCTTCCAGTTAACAGCGCTTCCTGTGGGGTTTTATTATTTCCTCTCACTGGGAGGTTTCTATATTTACCACTTAATCCTTGGCTTTCCAATACCTGTTTGTCAGTAAAATGGTCAAATGAATGCAAAATTTACTCTGGTGCTGCATGTTATTTCTGTACTGAATTTTATATCGTTACTTGGTGTTGGAGCAGTTGTGGCTGTGATTCAAAGTCACTTGGAATAACAGAAGACATAGGGACATAGCTAGTATCTGGTTTTCTTTTAAAGGCCAAGGCAGATGTGTTGAAAATGGATTAAAACAGTAGAACTCAATACAAAAGAGAATTAGCATTGCAGCGCATTGCCAGATTTCAGGTATTGCCAGGAACTAATTATTTTTCTACCCAAAACTGAGTGGCATAATGATTCATTCTATTGAAATCAAAATGTTTATAATGGATTATTACCCATGACTTTGAAACATGTTCAGTTCTTAATAACATTCTCCTAAAACAGGATGCATTTACTTGGTTTGGTATCAGACTGTTTAATAAATTAGTTAACAGTGAAGGTGAGCAAAAGAAATTTATTGCTTTGGATGGCCATCTGTGCCATAGCTGTAAGGATTTTGGTGCCTTTTTTGAGCCTTGGTATAGCACAGATGATAGAGAATATCCCTCCATGGTCTGCTGAACATAATATGTGGACAGCAAGAGTAATGAAAGATTCCACTGGCCTTTCCCTTGTAAGATAAAACAGAAATTAAAAAAAATAAAACCTCAACATTAAATGTTTAATGTTCACAAATCAAATATTAGTGTAACAGTATAGCTCAGGTCTAGGAAATTCTGCTATGCCTTGAGGAAGCAAGAGGTCACAATGAACTTGTGGACTCAGAAAAATCAGCCTAAAATAAGAGTGAGGAATTTCTTATTTGGTTCTTTAGCCCCTAAAATGATTATTGTCTAGACCTTTTCTAGAAATATTTTCTATATAAGATTTACACGTACTGGGTTCTTTTGACATTTCCCTTTTTTTCTTTGACATTGTCAGTGTTTCTTTAAACATTCTAAGAGATATAGAGACTAAAGCTTTTGTGAACTTAAGTATTATGCAAGTCAAAATTCTGTTTTCAACAGTGTATTAAAAATAGCTTTAATGACTTCCAGTGTCAATCTTGTTACAATCTTGCATACTTTAATATGTCTTTATATGCCACCATTCAGAACATCTACCTAGACTCTTTTTTTATCCCAACAGGGAATGTCCTTATATTCCTCTAGGACTTTAATTTCTATCTCTTTTTCTTCTCTAAGAGTCTAGTTTACAGATTATGGTCCATTTACATATTATTTTTATGATACATGTCAGAAACCACAAGGATTTATGCATTTTTCAAAATTGTAGTAACAAATGAGTGTAAAGTGCATTTACATTACTTAAATATTAAAGTGAAATTATGAATTAATAACTACACTATTAATAGATTCACTTTGCAAAAAACCAGTACTGTATTGAATAGGCAATAAATGCAATTAAATCTTAGGTATGAGAATACCTAAATATGCAGATTTGAAAAAATGTAACTACAGTTTAGTGAATACCTCCCTTTTGTTTTACAGATTTCAAAATACACTTTACAAAAGAAACTGAATGAAACGGTAAGAAATTAATAAAAGTAAAAAATAAGGTACAGATTTTATGAAAAGAGAATATCTGCTTAGTGTATCATGCAAGTACTAGCCACCTCTAATACTTAAATAATGTGTGATAATTATTACAAATAACCAAAAGAGGAAATGTCAGCTTTGAAACTGAAAAATTTTCAAATCCATATTTTTTTTAAAATTTTTTTATTTTTAGGTTTTCATAATGTGACAGCTGCTATTTAGCATGCAGAATGTTTTCTCCCTGGATTAAAGTGTAATTGGTACATTTGTTCTCTTTATAGGTTAGAGTGAAGATTTTTTCCAGACTGTGTTTTGAATAATGTAATTATATTACCCTTATGCTTATAGGATCTAGCATATTAAACTAAAAGAAGTACTGGAGAATTCTAAGCAGGTTTCTTTTTTTAAGAAAACCTGATGTTTTTCCTCTCACACTTTTTTAGTCCTCAGAATTACTTCATAACAACAGTTCCCTGAAGAGTTTAGATTTCATCCAGTCCATCTTACTCCCTTTGACACATAGAGTAAATTTATGTAGAGTGACAGCACAGTCACTCTGAACCCTGTTGTGTGTTTTAGGAAGTAAAAGAGTGAGCTGCAGAAACATTGCTAAGCTTGATTGAATAAATGCTGTGAAAATTCTGCTGCTGCTCAACTGGAAAGAATAAAGATAATATTGTCAGACCATTACAAACTGTGATTTTAATTAAGAAGCTCAAAAAACTAGGGTCCAGTTTAGCTTTAAGTACCATGACATTTGTACTGAAAGTCATCTTCAACGCTACAGTGGTTTTACACAAAATATGGTGAAATTGAATAATGTGCCCTTTGACCTGGGAGATAAGGCTACAAGTTAAAGATCAAAGGCAACATAAAATGTGTTTTGTCTTACTTCACTTTTAACTTGTATTTATTCTTAAAATACATCTGGTCTAAAAATGTGTTTAAAATACACAAATTATTGAACTTAGATTTAGGTAATTTCATATATTGTTTTTCTTTCCTAACTTGCAAGGTCAGTCTTCCATATCAATGAGAATATTTAAATCATTACACCTACTGGAAATGTATCTGTGCTGCTTAACCAAATATCTTCCCTTCTTATGTTCATAGATTTTATGTTTATAATCTTTTTGCTTATTTGAAAATGTTGAAATCATTGAAGTACTATGATACAGAGAATGGTTATTAAAAATACTACTGAGTAGGGGTCTAGATACTAGAAACTGTATTTTGCATGTACACCAAACGTAACATGTGTGGCTTGGCCATATTTATAGAAGATGTTCTGTTATGAAATGATGAAAACAGAAAAACACAAGGTAAATAGAAGCAAATTATTTCCTACCACCTTACACAGTAGCGGGCTCATACTGGTTTAGACTAAAGTCAAATTCTACCAGCTTTAATCCCTGCGTAGTTGCACTGAAATAAATGGTATGTTCTAGGGATCAAGGTAGTAGTAACCATGTAGACTGTCTTAGTTATCACATATGGCAAAATGCTTAGAAGTAAAATGGATAAAATTCCAAACTATACATTTATCTGAGACCCATGGCTATTTCAATTTTAAGTTTGTTAAAGACAGATTAGACCATACCCTGGCTAGTGTTTTGAAAGTAAGCAGATGTGCTGTTTAGTTTATATCTGATGCCTTAGAAATCCTGCCAGTCAGTAAACAAGATTTTGTATGTGCTGGGAATTGAGCATGCCTTACTGATGTAGCATTTTGTTCTGGTTTTGTTCCTTTAATCCAGTTCTTTAGTCTAGTAAATGCATTGTTAATGTTTTGCATGTACACCATACTGTAGTGTTCTATCCCATTAAGTTTTTGGGAAAATTGTAGTGCTGATACAGTTCTTAACATACATGCTAGAATTTTGACATAGTGGAAGGTTTTGTTTCATATTGAAAGACTGTAGAGAGACAGAAATAAGGGATGTCTTTTTCTTCCATCTTTGCTTTGTTTCATGAATGGAAGTGTTGATTATTGTGTATGGCGTAGTCACTTTGCACCTCACTGCATATGGATAGTAACACTTGTGCAGTCAGGAGGCTTGCAAGGTAGTTACTACAAAGCTAGCTGTCTTGAGAGGATATATTTGAGTGTGGGGTCTCTATTGTATTCTTTTTCTTGTTGCATCTGTTCCTGTGTTCCCTTGTTAACTTGAGTTGTCTGATCCTGGGCATGTCTGAGAGAGTGAGCATTTAGAGTTATTTGTCTTCTGCAGTGCCTAAATCTTAAATATATGTAATTGTGATAAAATACAAAGCCCAACAAGAATGAGATTAAGCTAGTGCTGGCTGGTTTAGAGACCAAATCTTGTGTGCAGTTCAGAGGAGCAAATGTGGAGTATGAAATCTCTGTGTAGTCAGTGGGGAGACATCACTGTCTACCAGGTAGTGATTCAGTGCATCAGTATTAATGAGTAATGTAGATGGGGTGACTACCTCTGTGAATGACTAGTAATTTGTCTAGTTTCACTTGCTGACTGTGTTGATATTGGTAAACTAAATGTTTGTGAGACCATTTAGTGGAGCTGCAGTCAAGCGATAGGAAACGGTCTAGGTTCATTAAACTCTAGTGCCCTTCAAAACAGAGGGAACCAGCCTCCAAATAACCCACATTGTTCCCAGCAGAGAGTCTCCTGAGCTGTGCCCAGGAACTGCTTACATGTGTGCTACTTGGCACAAGCCAAGATGGGCCAGGGATATTTTAACGGCAGTGTAGGCATTTCCTGAGAGCTTCCTTGCCACCATTTCATTTTCTAATACAGATGTAGTTACCAAATGACTGAAAAATTACTTACTGCAAAATGTTAAGTAAATGTAATTTTAGAAGTTGGTTTCATCTTAATAATATAAGTTAGGAGTGTTACTTTTATTTTTCCATGTCTTTTAGGAATTTGCCTGTAATTATACTATGTTATTTAAAAATACAGTGAGGGGAAGTGATACAGTATAAATAAAAATAAGTATTTTAAAGTAGAAAAATGGTGAGAACTAAAGGAACCATGTGGAAAAAATTTCCTATATTGAAGATTTACACTTGGTAACCCTTTGCATAATTTTCACATGATCTTGCCCTAGGACTCCATGTCATTACATCTCCTTTGTTTCTCTGACACTTTCACCTCCCAATTACCACCTTCTGCTTCACTGAGTAACTCTGACTAGTGACTCAATTTCCAGAGTATCTTTGAGATATGAGCAATTCCCTCTTTGTCTTCCTCCAGTCACCTACCTGACCCTGAGCTATTTCTCTGGTCTAGTTCCACCAAGAAATCATTGTGCCTCGACAAACCATATGGCCACAATCAATTCCACTCCCCATCCCAGCTTATCTTTATTACTGGTGGAGGGCAGGGCAATAATTTCTGTTCTTGAAGTATCAGACATCACGAAGAACAACCAGCATTCTGTGGGTCTTACTCCAGCTCCAGGGTCATCGCCTCCCTATCCTGTAGTGTCTCCTGATGTTTCTTGATTGTCTTCCATAGAAGAATGTTTTAAGACCCTTTCACTGTGAGTGGAAGAATCACATACTCAGACTTCTATTTTACTGTGCACTAAGTCTGGAGAGCAGCTTGCCATCAAAAATCATATTTAGGCAAGTGCTAAGCTCTTAATAAAACTCTTGAGGACATAACAGGCCAATTCCTTTTCTCATTGGAAAGAGCCCTGGGAAACAACGAAGCATATTTCTACTTTTCTAGCGAGGCGGAGGGACTAACACAGTTTTTCTGACTTAAGAAATGAATTGGGAGAGCAGTAAGAAAAATCCATATAAAAGAAAGCTCTTTGAGTGCCAAATTAGTGATGCCTTCCTGTTCATTGATCTCTGAGAATAAATAGACCTGAATGACTATCAGGAAACACAAATATAATTATAAACTTTGATTTTTTGTTATAAAATCCACATCCTAGCATTAGTAAGGATAGTTCTTCAACAGTTAACTTATGGTTAGGAAAAAGCCAAAGTACGTGAACATTCACAACCTGCATTCCTTGCACTGATTCTGTAAGTGGTGGTGTTTCCTTACCAGTGCTTCCATTATGACTTTCCATTTGCTGTAGTGTGTTTAATTTCATACCTTATAAAACATGAGAAATTTGTATTGTATATCCTGTTTTGCTAGCCTTATGTTGGTCATTTCTTTTGATTACTATCAGCTTTCATTATCCTCTGATGCTTGGACATGTATTGCATTTGTTACTGTATGGAAATGGAGCCTTACACAAGCCAGACACTGGGCCACATTCATCCCTGCGTAACTTGAATTTACACGTATTTGCTGTGTTGCTTTCCTGTAGGTTAGAAATAGATTAGATGTCTAAATATATGGGTGTCTTTTCTGAGGAATTAATTTAACTCATTCTCTTCAGGGAAAACTTAAGTTGACCCAATATACCTACAAAGCTATTAACAAAAATACAGTTTAAAGAGGAACACAAATATATATTGAAGGACGGATAAAAAGTAACTTTCTTTAAAAAAAATCAGTGGCATGTGTCAATATAGTTTCCTGTGAATATCTATTTTCAATCACCCCCTTGCAAAGCAAGATTGGTAACATTCATTAAACTTAAATACATTTTAGTTAATTACTGTAAGGGATTCATTACAGTAAGATATTACGTAGGCCAGCATGTTAACAGAAGTAAAAATAAAGTATTAGATGCTTAGAAATGTAAGCATCTTACTACAGATACAGAATCATAAAGTATAAGTAAATTTGCCATATTTGAAGATATTACAACTGCTGTTGATACTGAGGAATTTATAATTACTCATTAAAAGTTAAACTATACTTTTCTGGGAAGCTTGGAGTATTAATTTACATTAGTTTCACTAATCTAAATGAAGGTCACCAGTACTCTTTGGAATTACTTGATGCAGTTCTGTTCTTCAGCAAGTATGTTGAAATTCTTTTAATTATGTGTGTCAAACACACATTGTCTTAATAGTTAAAAACGGCAGTGCAAGAACAATCCCAGAACTGGAGTGGATAAGGCTGTTGGGTGTCTCTGGAGATGTCTTAGTCTACCCCTGCCCTGCTCAAAAAAGGGTCAGTTAGAGCTGGTTGCACAGGGCCATGCCCAGTCAAAGGTTTAGTATCTCCACAGTTACAGACTCTGTAGCCTGTCTGTGCAACCTGTTCCAATGTTTGACCACCCAGACAGCAATTTTTTTCCCCCTCCAGTTTAAGTGAAATGTTCTGTATTGCACTTTGTGTCAGTGAGCACCACAAAGAGGAGTCTGGGTCTTCTTTATCTCCTACCCCTTCACCCAGCATTTATACACATTTATCAGATACCCGCAGTCACCTCTCCTCCAGGCTGAACAGTCACAGCTCCCTCGGTCTCTCCTTGCATGTCAGGTGTTTAAATCCCTTGATTACCGTAGTGGCCCTATACTTTAAACAGTGCTGTATTGAAAACAAACAAACATAAATATTTTTGTTTGAGCTGTATTGCAATATAGCTTAGAACTTTTGCCTTGTCAATTAAACCCATGTTATGCTGGAAAAGTCTTTAAAACCATAAGAGGAAGACAGTGCTTTTACTAGTGGCTTTACAAAGAAGACTGAACACTGTTTGCATAATAGATTGCTTTTGTTGTGTACCAGGAGACAGTAAACGTCTATAGGCCTTATGTTCATGATGCATACACTAGCACTGTTGCCAGAGTTTAAGGAGCTCCTGCTCATATCTGCCTCCATCCACTTACTCATTTCTGCCCTGTGGTGTTCTCTGAAGGTGCTGGGGCAGTGGGTTGTGGCAGCTGTGATCTTTTTAGCTGTGACCCAAGAGCATGGTGTATTTTGTTGCATACTACAGTAGGGACAAACAAGCAGCTAGGGCAATGAGGGACAAACATGTGAAGCTGAAGCTATAGATACAGATTTTGAATATAGATTCAGAGCTATATTGTTTTGAGTCTGCAGCCCAAGACATGGGCAGGTACTGCCCCAGTCTGAATAGCAGATGTGGGGTGGGAGCTGTATTAAACTGCATGGCCATCCTTCATCAGAGGAATGAGAGAATGTAATGCTGTACTGCATGGTAGTGCAGGAGGGGAAGTATAAACCGCAGGCAGCATTAACACGTTAGGCTAGTGGCAGAATAAATAACATGTTTAAGCCACATAACAAAGGAAAACTTGAAATTGGGATTTGAAAACAGTTAATACAGTTCTGCAAAAAGTTCTCCTAAAGAATACATGAGTATATGTTAAAATGCTTTCTTGATAATCTAAGCTACAGGTGAAGGTCTTTGAGATGAGGTGCTATCTGGAGATGGGAACCGATCACTAGATGCGAAATAGGCAATTGAGATATTCTGGGAATGATTTTGCATTTATGCTAGTATGTTAAAAAGTGTTTGGTGAGTTGATTGATACATGCCAGTTATTATCATTAAGTAGGTGCTCCATTTATGTTTCTAACAGGATCAAAAATTACAGATGCACTTAACAGCAAAAGAAGAGCATCATAAGAAACTGAATGAAGTTGAGAAGTGTTATGCTACTATTGCAAGTCAGTTTGGAATCATAAAAGGTGTTCATAGAAAACTGGAGCATAGCGGTATGTATGTCTTCAGTGTCCTCCAGCATTTGTTTTCTTTGCTGTATATTGATGACAGTGAGTTGTAGGTATCTGGCAGTTTAGGAAAACAGTAGCTACCTCATGCCAAGCATCAGATACTACAACTGACAATTACTGGATCTCAGCAGCTTCATCAGTGTTTTTTTCTGTGGCAGAGCCAGGTTAAGCAGTACAGGCCCTGTACCTCTTCTGCTCTTTGCTGATACACTGCTACTATTATGTTTATGTGCGATCACATAGTAAATTATATTGAAGAATGTATTTGTGTTCAAAACAACAAAGCAGCACATCAACTTCCTGTTGCCATTCAGCATAATCAACTTAAACAGTTGTACCAGCACAAATGAGGGGGTAAGAGTAAAGGAATTAGCAAATAGGGGAAAATGAATACTTTTTAAAGTAGGTTTAGTACTGGGAAATGGACAGAAAACATTAATGAAATAATAAAAATTATTTTATTGTACAAAAATATAAGATCTTAAAAGCAGTTCAGTAAATAAATAGGGTGATATGAAGTTTTATGTTGGTACTGTTACATAGGTTCTGACTACATGGCAGTTTAAGTCTTATAAATCTGTATCATATTCCTGTCGCTGTGTTGAAACATAAAATTATCTATGAAACTGTTAACATGCATAAATATTATTCCACATACTTTTGTTATATGAATATATAACTTTTATCTGCAAAATAATAAAGCTGATAACCTCAAGTAATAAAAATACCTAATTTTAAAAAGTTTTGTACCTATTAATTTGAGAGATAAATACTTGTTTCTCACAACAAAGTGATAAATTTCTGTTCAAACATCACAGTGTATGTGTAGAACGTGAACGTGTGTATTCCTTTGTGTGGCTGGGGTTTTAATTCATGTAAACAGAACATAAATAAAAATAAGAATTGTTTTTTTAAGGAAAGGGAGAAGTGGTTGTATAACTCAAACCGAACAAAAACCCAAACAAGCAAACTTTTCAAATACCAAAGCTTGTAAGTTTGGGGGTTGTTTTTCAGCCTGAAACCAAATAGTTTTTTCAGCTCTAGTTTGAATAAACTCATAACATGTTCAATGTGTATTTGTGGTATTTCAGTACCTCAAGTTACTTTTTGTATTTTTTTTTCTTTTTTTAATAGGCTAATATTTAATATTAAAAACTAAGAGGAAACACGGCTGTGTTTTCCTTTTATTTTTACTGGACAGGGCCTTCCTATTATGTTAGATACAGGAAAGTCTTTTTGCAATTTCATGGAAAAATAATATTTACTCTCAGTATTTACGCTATTTGAACCATACATAAATGCCTTTTGCCATGTTTCTACTTTATATTTATCAGTAATTGCAAAACGAACCTGTAAAAAAAAGATTTCAATGTTACTGCTTCTGTTCAAGAAGCCAATCAGTTCACCAGGTGGCTTCTATGACAACTGCTTGTGTGTCTTTTACTGCAGAGATAATGCAACTTGCATTGCAGTATGTAAGATGTGCAGTAAGCTTAGTAGGTAACTCGTAAATTCTGAGCAAGGAACTGAGGTCAGTGGAAAAGTCTGGCAGGAAGTATGCCAGCCATTGTGTATGCAAATTGTTTAAATTTATAAACTGGTGCTTTATCTGCTTTATTAAAGCAGCATGTAGGTAAACAAGACGGTGTAACATTGGTGTTCTGTAGTGCTGTATAGGAAAAATACCACCATTTATAATAAATCTAAACCTTTATTGTCTAACCAGTGTTCCATCATTAGTATTTTAAAGCTAGAGAATCGACACGACTCCTGTTGAAAGATAAGAGAGAGTTTTACCAGTTTTTGTCTGCTTGATTTCATTTTTTTCCTTCATTGTATCAGAAGGTATTGTTACATTCTTAAGTATTTTCATTTGTTACGCATATATTCTTATATAAAACTGCAAAATTGCTTATTGTATTGTAAGGCTGTTGTCCACTGTTCCCCATGATGCTTACCATCTTTAACAGAAAAGGCTTCCTGGGTGTGATGGAGTGTCTTGGGTTCTTGTACTTCGCAAGTATTCTTGTGCCAGAAGCTTTCTGAATAAATAAAGAAAAAAAGATTAGGAAGAATGAAGAGGAATCAGGGAATAGAAAAGGCTGAAGAGAGCTCAGAGGATCCAAACCCAAAGATTGAATAGAGGAGACTGAAAAAGTACAGGGACCAGTGAATATCTTCAGCTTTTAATTGTGAAACTTCAAGCAATTTCCCAGAGATACCTTGGCCTGGCTAAAGTCTAAGAGAAAATTGCCTTCCCTTTCAAAAAGGGCAGAGATGATTCTTAGAGTTTTCCTCTCCATTATCCTCTGCTGATTGCAGTCTTCTGTGTCCTGTATGCATATAACTCTGTACATCTGTTAATTATTTGAATGTGCTGTGGTCCATTTGAATGTAATGTGTTCCATTATGTTATGTTCCTCTGAAAATAATTAAACTCATCAAAAACTACCAGCAAAGCCTTAGTTAAAAAAACCCCACAAACCCTCAGATTAAAAGCTCATGGAGAAATGGTCCTAATAAAATGACATCACCTGATACTAAAAATTTAAATTACAATTAAAAAAAAAAGGACGAACCAACACACAGAAGAGTCTTAACTCATAGTTCAAGGTATAGAACAACTGATACTACCTGGTGTAATCCTGCAGTGTAGTATCACACTAAACAGAAACCATTCTAAACAGTAACCATTCTAAACAGAAAAAGTAGAGTCGTATTTTCAGTCTTAGTCTCCTTTCCACAAAGATGTTTAATTATGTTATAAATTATATGCACATACATTGTAGTTATAAATCAAATATTCAAATATGAAAGTATTGACATGTTTTAACTTTTATTTAAAGTACAGGAAGCAATACAGCTCAATAAGAAACTAACATCAGTGAATAAAAGACAAGAGACCGAAATAAGTAATCTGAAGGAAGTAAGTCTACTGTTCATTTCCGATGTGGGATTCTTTGGGACTTCTATAAACTGCTGTAATATTAATAGTAATGGACCAGCAGCAGCAATGTTCTTCATTCTGTGATTAATGCCTACATTAGTTTTATGCTTCCTTGTTATGCACAGGTATTTCACATGAATGCCAATTAAAACTGGAGCAGCTCTGAATAGTTTTTGTAACTTGGGAATTTTTATTTACCTCTACAGTGTCCTACTTGTTTCTCTTTAATGATGGTCAGTCTTTCTTCTTCCTGTGCTGTGTTGTCACTGCTTCTCCCCTTTGATATGGAAAGGTAGCAGTGCTGATTTCAATGTAGTCAGAAAGATAGAACATGACAAGTAGATGCCGTAGAAGCAAGCTGGTAGCTGCTGTAACTGAATCTCCATCAGAAATGGGAGAGTTTTGTGACAGGGCATCTGAGACATTAAATAATAGTGATGCTATGGACAAAGAAGTTGACTGACCATTATACTCTTTTCTGCCCTCGTCTATCCAGAGACTACTATTTGCCAAGTACATTTTTGAGTTGCATTCTTGAACACATGTAATAGTGGGAAGAATAAAGTTCTATTTTCCCATATAATACAGCAAACCTCAGGGTCAAGAAGATCAGATGTTGAAGTTACTGAAATCTCCAAGATTTCAGAGCTCCTGCCACCATAAAAGCAGACCAAGAAACACAATGACAGTAAAGCAGAACACGGGAAAATTCTCAAATTATTGTCTAAATCACAGCTGGGTTTTAAGGCATTTAGAAATGTTTATTTAGCTACATAATTCAAATGATAGGTTATTTTTATATATATATAAACTATATATATTATCTGAAATATTGGATGGATGGAAGAGCAACAGAAAAATATTGCAAGTTGTCAGTGGTGACAACTTTCCCCTGTAGAAGGAAATATTTGCTGTATTTATTAGAATGCTAAAATCATCATAGCTATGGATGTCTGAGGATAACTGTTTTCACTGAGTACACCTCAACAGTACAGTGCCTTTAGAAGAGGATAATTTGTATGTGCCAAAAAAAGGGACATTCATGAAAATGGTTTAGTGGTGAACTTGGCAGTCCTGGGGTAGAGGTTGTACTTGATCTTAAAGGTCGTTTCTAACCTAGCTGATTCTATGATACTTTTATTGTAATATATTGTAAACATTAAAATTTAGGAGGTTTAGAATTACTTTTTTTAAGCACCACAGTAAATTAGCTTTGGTTAAAAAACCAATAATAATTCATTACTTAGAATTCTCTGAGAGTAACTAATTTGAGAGGTGAGAAAAGAAAAATGTTTAAGAAAATTTTACATAGTAAAATTTGGGAGTAAGAGGTGTGCAAGATAAACCGATAGTGATTTATGGACTCCAGTAATCTAACATATTGCTTGATCCGGTTTTTTTTCAGCTGTACTCTTGATTCTTAAGGTCATGGGTGATGAATTTCAAATAAAATACTGTTAGCTTAGCAGAAGGGGTCACCTGAAACTTAATCTGGCTTCCTCAGTTCACCAGGAAATGCCTTTGTTGTGGTTGAATTTCTTGTTGGTTGTTTAGTATTTGACCATCTTATTCTGAGTGATGGTGGAAAACTGAACTGGAATGTAATTTCTTAGCATTTTAATATTCACGTAGTGCTGCAGCACTTTGCTGTGGCAGTATCTTATTTTGTAAACAGGCTTCCCAGGGAAGTGGTGGAATCACCATCCCTGGAAGTGTTCAGAAACCGTGTCGATGAGGCCCTTAATAACATGGCTTAGTAGTGGCCTTGGCAGTGCTGTGGGAATGGTTGGACTTGATGATCTTAAAGCTCTTTTCCAACCTGGTTGATTGATTCTGTGAGGAAAACAAAAAAAGAAGTGGGGTTGTTTATTTGTAAATATAGGTTTTTCCTCAAACTGCAGCATTTCTGTGAAAACTGAGTTGAAAATAAACAATACAGAAAAACAAGCAATTCTTTTGGGTCACTCTGCAAGAATCTCTATTTTGACAGTTTGCTTATAAAACATTCCTGGAAAGTTATGTAGTAAGAGAGTGCATTTCTGAACTGTGTCTATAATGGCACTTGTTAGTTCAGCACACCTTCAGTTTGTGAAGGGCTGTGGGCTCATCTTTTGGGTCACTCTGCAAGAGAAGAGAAAAGTGCTTGAACCCAGTAAGAAGTGCCCTGAGGTACATTCATTTCAATGTGATTATCTTGTACTTAGAGTAACCATTCTAAAAGTGATCTTAAAGCAGTCAAGTGTTTACCCTTGTTGGGGGATGTGTCTGAGCTGAAGGGAGCTATGAGAGACACAAAGCAATGAGAAGACTTTGATACTTAGAAGAGTTTGGAAGAAGGATTACCAGGCTGTTTTCACTTGCTGCATAGCTGAAAGAAGTCATGATACCTGCAGCACAATTGGCACAATTTACAAAGCTGGTTTAATCTGCCCTGGAGACTTGGCTGACCTCTAACAGCTCTGACAACTTGTGGGTTCAAGCTTTTTTCCTCTATAGCCTCAGTGCTGGAGTGGCAATGACTGTCCATAGTACTAAAATCTTAATTTGGCTGTCAGCTCTTATCACAGCCATTAGTTTGACTCAGACCTGGAAGATCTCACACATTTGTTCTTAATGGGAATATGAAGTTAGTAATGCCATTCAACATTTATGCATAAAAATAAGCTAATCTCCAATTTTAATGAAATTGCAAGTTTGTGATGGGGGCCTTAAATATGTACAACAATAAAACCTGGGTTAAATTGAGGTCTATTCTGCACAGGTTTAGTCATGTGGGATTTGTGAAAAGAAATATTAGTTAGAGAGCTTGTAGTTTCCTCTTGACGTTGTCTGCTTACAAGTCCAGTTCCTAAATCCTAGCTTTAAGGACTGTGGCATAACTTCCTTTTCAGTAACATTTATTTTGGGATTTGAACATTACATAGTCAATATGGTAAGATTCTTTTCAACCACTATGAAAAATCTGGCCAAGAAAAAGGTGTCCTTTATTCTGCTGCTTAGAAGAACAGCTCAAGGCCTGAAAGAGTGCAAGAGAGTTGTACTGATCTAGGAAGAGAGCAAGAAGATATAATTTTGGATACAGTTAAAGTTTGTGTAAGGTATCAGCACTGTCTTGGGAAGTGGTTACATCTGCTTGTGCTGGTTGCTTTTCCAGTCCTGTAACTCCTCTTCATGCTGGCATGTGGATTTGTGTGGCCTTGAGAGAAAGCAGAACGAAAACTTTGTATTGATCAAAACTACATTTCACCAAAAAAGGGGGAAGTTTTAGCTTGGATCAGCTGGCAAAAGGAAAAGACATTGAGGGAGCAGGACTGTTTCTTTTTTGACACTCGACTTTTGCTGGCTTGAAGTTTCTGAAACCATGTCCCTAAGCGTTGGCTGAACAACACATCAAAGGAACGGGTTTAAAGCCTTATCACTCTTTCTTAGCATTCCTCCAAAACTGATAAAATTATTTTCCAGATTCAATTTAATTTATAGGGTTCTGAATGCTACTGGTGATCTTATGAATGACAGAAAGCTACTAGGGAAAAAAAAAAAACCATGGCAAAAACTCTGGGGGTGATTGTTTTTTGGGTTTTTGTTTTTGTTCTGTTTAATTGCAGAGTATAAGAAAACATACATTTTCTTATGTATGTATAAAATTCCTTTATTGTCACAGCTCCACAGCTTGTACTTTCACTCACCATGGAAAACTTTCCCATGATTTCTGTGGTTTGATTTGTGTTGTTTCTTTTCAGGTTTGTATTGGGTTTGTTGGTTGTTGGTTTGGTTCCAGAGGGATTCTATGCATCTACCTGCGATACACAAATTAAAAAAATCCAATCAGATTTTCTACCTCAAGGGCATGATTTACTTAGTACAACTTGTTCTTTTCCTGGGACAAAATAAATAATGCTAAGAAAGAGTGATAAGGCTTTAAACCCATTCCTTTGATTTTTAAGCACGCAGTGAACTCTGACTTAGAAAGTCTACAGTATTGGATCCACAGGAGGCTTTTGCACCTGCTCATGTAGCACACAACCTGTTAGCTGTGTTCTGTATACTGTTAACCTGGTTCTCTGCAAAGTTGGACACAGTGCACCTTTTTACTTTTACAAAGCTAAAACTGCTTGCACCTTCTGCCACTCTCTTTCATTACAGAGCCTTCTAGTAAAAACAGTACAAGTAATACTGAAAAGGTGGAAAAAGCCTTAATAGCTTATAGAGTATCATAATTCTAACACATGGCTGTCTTTGGGTTCTATAATTGATTCTGCAATTACACTTAGTGCTTGCTAGATTATTCTAGGTTTATTTATGACTAAAATACATGAGAAATACAACTCTAGGGGAAAAAAAAAAGATTTCAACATAGTGCCTCTACTTGTATTTTCTGCAAAACCTTGCATTTGTGAATTTCAGCTACAACATAATCTTCCCTTTTTCTTTTGTCCTGTTATATGATTTTGTCCAGAACAGTTAAACCATTGGTCTGTGATAAGATGGAATTCCAGTTTTGTGAAGAAAAGTTAAACAGACCAAACTTAGTTGTTAGATAAAACTATTACCATTCTGAATGCTTGGTTCACCACTATGGCATCATGAAGAATTCTTGATACTATCTGTGAACAGCATTCATAACCTCTGCTATTTGTCTGAGTAAACGTCAGAGTGCTCAAGGAGAGAGCGATATTAAACAGACTACCTTGTACCAGAATGGGAGGGGTGGGGGAGAACAGGGCACAATATTTATGACTCCAGGAACTGTAAGTTGTAATTTAATGAGATCAAAGCATTTGCTATTTATTTGTTGCTCTAGGAGCTGGGAATAAACTGGTCAGAAAA